CTTTTCTTCCTCTCTCTTTTTTTTTTGTTCTCTCTCTCTCTCTCTCTCCCTCTCCCTCTCTCTCTCTGCCTCCCTCCCTCTCGCCCTCTCTCCACCAGCAGCGCTCGCTCCTCCGAGGAGCCCGGGCCCGCCCGCGGGCCCGGTCGGCCCTGTCCTCGCCGAAGCTGCCGCCCCCCCCCCCCCCGCGGCGCCGCGCGAAACACGTCCGCCCGCGGGCCCCCGCCGGCCCCGTTCCCGCCTGCAGCCGCCGGCCCCTCTCCTCCGCCTCCTCCGCCTCCATCTCCTCCTTCTCCTTCCTCCTTCTCTCTCCTCCTCCTCCTCCTCCTCCTCCTCCTCTCACTCCTCCTCCTCCTCCTCCTCCTCCATCTCCTCCTCCTCCCTCCTCCTCCTCCATCTCCTCCTCCTCCTCCTCCTCCTCCTCCTCCTCCTCCTCCTCCATCTCCTCTCTCCTCCTCCTCCTCCTCCTCCTCCTCCTCCTCCTCCTCCTCCTCCTCCTCTTGTCGCTGGAAGCGGCACTCACGTTCCCGGGCCCTTGGCGAGGCCCCAGAGCGACCTTCCAGAGGGCAGCGCCTCGGTCCCAACTCGCAAGCTCCGAACCTCCCCAAATAGGGCCCAAAGACGAGGCAAGAAACACGGACACCATGGCCGCCAAGATGTCGCGGTAATGGAGGATGACGATTAATAAATGACCGGGGGTCGTGTTCACGCGGCGGCGCCCGGGATGGCGATTCGAAAATGCCGGCCGCGGGCTGGAAGACTATGTTTTAATCGTTCTCCTCCAGTCAGAAAGCTGTGCAGAAATAGCAGGAAACTATTTCTTTAATCGTTCTCTCCCATTTTTTTATCAATCGTCATCCCGCATTAGGGGGGGGATGCATCGACTCCCAATCGCCCACTGATCGCCGAGAGGGGCCCGAGAGCACCAGCCTGCACAGCAAGTTGCGGACTCACCATCGGAGGCCTATCGCCGATCTATCGGCGATGCATCGCCGATTCCAGGTCGATGCATCCCCCCCTATGCCAGTCCCCCCCTATCGTTGCCCCTCATTTCGGAGGGAGGAGAAGCGAAACCAACACCACCAGGGTCGGGCGCAGAAAACTATGCACATGCACCGATCCTGGCGAGGCCCATCCTTGACCCAGGATCGGTGCATAGGCCTTCCTGGCCAAGGTGGGAGGGCGTATGCACCGATGCTGGGCTCTGGATGGGTCTGGCCAGAATCGGTGTATGTGCATAGTTCTTTTTCCTCTACAGGGGGCCCCTTTCGTCGGCACGAACGGAATGGGTACGGACAAAAATGGGTACGATGCCCAAGGGCAGTTCCTGTTCATTTTGAACAGGACTCGCTGTACGCGCCTCCGCGGCCTGTGTCCATTCGAGACAGAAGGCCGCCTACCAAACAGCGACCGCTGTTGGTTTGGGACAATTGTTGCTGGGCATTGTACCCATTTTTTCCGTACCCATTTCGGGCGTCCAAATTGTCGGAGGGGGGAGAAGCGAAACCAAGACCACCAGGGGGCCCACCGCCAGCGAGGAGGTCCACGATGCCTCTCCGAGCTGGGGGCTGGGGATGTCTCGAGGGAGAGGGGGGGACCACACCACCAGGGAGTTCCCCCTTGCCTCCTCGCATCTCCTCGCCCTGTTGGTGTTGGTGTCGCCTTTCCTTGTTCCTACCTTGTACCTCCCCTTTGAATTTCAGTCGCCGTGCGCTGCCATCTCACTGCGCCGCATTGAAGTATCTTTGTGTTGCGATCGCAGTGCGCTGCAGTGCGATCGCATTGTGGTGCGCTGCTTTGAAATACGTTTTGCACATCTGGTATTTGCACTTCCTTGTTCTGGATTTGTTGCTGGCGCTCTGCTCTGCACTGCTTTGCAGTGGGTTGCAGTGTTTCCCATTGCGTGGAATTGCTGTGCGTTGCATGTGTTCTGCGTTGCGTTATAGCGCATGGTATTGCGTTGCCTTGCATGGCTTTGCCTTGCGGTGCGTCGTTTTGCAGTGCTCTGCAGTGTGTCGCATTGTCTTGCGTTGCGTTGCATTGCTTTGTACTGCTCTGCGCAACGTGGGTTGCACCACTTAGATTGCACCGCGTCGATTGTGCAACTTAGATTGAACGACACAGATTACCAAGCGTCGCTGTTTCGGGCCCACGATGGCAAGCATGTGTGCACACGAACATGCGCACGTACATTATACATATGGCATATGGCTATATATGCACATGCATATGTAGTGTGTATTGTGTATGTGCGTACGCATGCATGCATGCATGCATGCATGCATGCATGCATGCATGTATGTATGCATGTATATATATGTATGTATGGATGTATGTATGTATGTAGGTATGTATGTGTGTATGGATGTATGCATGTAAGTATATGTGTATGCATGCATGCCTATATATGCCTGTATGCATAACTCTTTGTATGTATCTGTGTGTATTTAGGTGTGTATGGCTCCCTCGAGGGTGCGAAGTTATTCGCGTTTCGCAGTTTGGACGACGTCAGAGCGAGGCGCGAAGTTATTCGCGCTTCGCGGTCTGAGCCTGCGACGGTTTCCAGAGCGAAGGTAGACGCGCCTCGCATCCTTGGGGCTAGGCCATTGAGGTATTGCATCGCGGGCTTCGCAGTCTGGGCGACGTCAGAGCGAGGCGCGAAGTTGTTCGCGCTTCGCGCGGAGCCCGTAGAGTTTGGATAAGGTTGTCTTAGGGGGCCAGTGATTTAAGATAAGGTTTTCGGAGGGGGGGCCAGGGTTTTTGGATAAGGTTTTCGAGCGGAGCTCACCGAATTCGGAGTAGGTTTTCGCGCGGCACACCTGGAGTTGGGATAAGGTGTTCGTAAGGGGCCAGTGAGTTAGGATAACCAAGGAACTCGGATCCCGCTTTCGCTCGGAGCCCATGGAGTGTGGATACGGTTCTCGTAGTGGGGCCCGTGAGTTAGGATAAGGTTTTCGCAGCGGGCCTTGGGCGTTAGGATAAGGTTTTCGCGCAGGGCCCCGGGAATTCGGACTAAGTTTTCGCGCGGAGCCCAAGGAGTTGTGATAAGGTTTTCGTAGAGGGCCAGTGAGTTAGGACAAGGTTTTCGTATCGGGCCCAGGGCGTTAGGAAAAGGTTTTCGCGCTGGGCCCAAGGAATTCTGAGTAGGTTTTCGCGCCAAGCCCCTGGAGCTTGGATAAGGTTTTCGTAGGCAGGCCATTGAGTGAGGAGGCGTTTTTCCGAACTACATTCGCTCCGCGCGAAAACCTAGTCCGAATTCCTTGGGCTCCGCGCGAAAGCCTTATCCTAATTCCCGGCCCCCCCTAAGAAACCTTACCCTAACTCATTGGTCCCAATGCGATAACGCGCATCCGAACTCCATGGGCTCCGCGCGAAAATCTAATCCTAATTCCTTGGGCATTTTCCCGAATGCCCTATCCGAACGCCCGGCCCCCCCCCCGAACACCTAGCCCTAACCCCTGGGCGCCCCTACGAAAACCTTACCCTAGCTCGCTTGCCGCCCTGCGAAAACCATATCCGAACTCCATGGGCTCCGCGCGAAAGCCTAGTCCGAATTCCTTGGGCTCCGTCCGAAAACCTTATCCCAACTCCCGTGCCCGCCTTCGAAAACCTTATCCTAACTCACTGGGCCCAATACGATAACGCGTACCCGAACTCCATGGGCTCCGCGCGAAATCCAAATCGGAATTCCTTGGGATCCGCCCGGAAACCTTATCCTAACTCTCGGCCCCCCCGACGAAAACCTTATCCTAGCTTATTTCCCCTTGCGAGCCTCATTCGAATTCCTTGGGCTTTGCGCAAACACCTCATCATAATTGTTGGGCCCCCCTGCGAAAACCTTATCATAATTCACTGGCCCCCATGCGAAAACCATTTCCGAACTCCATGGGCGCCGCTCGAAAACCTAATCCGAATTTCTTGGACCCTGCGCGAAGACCTCATCGTAATTCTTGGGGCCCTCTACCAAAACCTTGTCCTAACCAACTGGGCGCCCTACGAAAACCATATCCAGACTCCTGGGGCTCCGTGCGACTCCGAAGTTGTTGGTCTCCGCTCGGAAGTCTTCTCTTGCTCTCACGAAGACCTTATCAGAAACCACTGGGCTCCTTACGAAAAGCATTCCCAGCTTCGAGGGCCTGCGTTCCTCCCTCATCGTCCTCTGCCCCCACGTCCACCTCAGTCCTCATCCTCTGCATGCCTTGCGGGCCTCGGACTCTCCCATCGCCCCGCGCCCTTGTCTTGTCCCCCGGGGGGGAATCGCGAAAGGCTCGAAGTTATTCGCGCTTCGCGCTTCGCGAGCCCCTCGTCTTGTCCCGGGGGGGGGGGGGGGGGGGGGCAAACGCGCGAAGTGATTCGCGCTTCGCGCAGCGCGAAGCGCGAAGCCAGGAGCCCTTGATGTATGTCTGTCTGTATGTATGTATGCATGCATGTATGCATGTATGTATGTATGTAGGTAGGTAGGTAAGTATGTATGTATATATGTATGTACGTACGTACGTACGTACGTATGTATGTATGTATGTATGAATGTATGTATGTGTGTGTGCATGTATGATTGCATGGTTGTATGTATGTAGTCATGTACGTATAGTTATATGGTTATATAGATATGTATATATGGATGTCTGTATATATACATATATATACATATGCGTGTGTGTATGAGCGCGCATGCATGTATGTATGCAGGCGGGTGTTAATCAACGCATGCATGTGTGCGTATATGCTTGTCTGTATGCATGCGTGTAGATAGGTGTGGCTGCATGCGTGTATGTGCAACATGCGTGTGTGTGTATATATACGTTTGTGTGTTTAGATATGCATGTATCATGTGTGTGTGCCTTCCCCTCCCCCCTCCCTCCCCCTCCCTCCCTCCCTCCCTCCCTCCCTCCCTCCCTCTCTCCCTCGTTCTCTATTCCTCCCGGTGCCCCCTCCTCTCTCTTGTCCCCTCCTGCCCCCTGCCTCCTCACCCCCTCCCCCTCCCGCCCCCCCCCTCCCCTCAGTCTGGCCCTTGCCGCCGCGGCTGCGGCGGCGTGCGGCCTCCTCTGCACGCTCGCGCCGCACGCCTTCGCGGCCCCGGTGGCTCCCAGGGCGCTGGCGCCTGGAGGGGCCTGGGGCGGGGGGGGGGACTCGGGGGGATCGCCATGGGGGGAGGAGGAGGGAGGGAGAAGGGAAAAGGAGGAGGAGGAGGAGGAGGAGGAGGAGGAGGAGGAGGTAGGGAGGAGGAGGTAGGAGGAGGGAGGGAGAAGAAGGAGGAGGAGGAGGAGGAGGATGAGGGAGGAGGAGGGAGGGAGGAGGAGGAGGAGGGAGGAGGAGGAGGAGGGGAGGGAGGAGGAGGAGGAGGAGGAGGAGGAGGAGGAGGAGGAGGAGGAGGAGGAGGAGGAGGAGGAGGAGGAGGAGGAGGAGGGGTAGCGGGTCCTGAGGGAAACGGGTCTTGAGATTTTGTCCCCGGTCTCGGGCTCTCGCGGCCCTCCACGGGCCCCGGGACTGCCAGAAAATGCCTCGGGAGGGAAAGTTCGCCTTGGGGGAAGGCGCCAGGGGTCCAGGACCGGCGAAGGCTCCCATTCTCAGGCGATCGCAGACACGGATCAAGGGGGCGTGGATTAGCGACGGGTCCCGTTTCCATGGGGAGTCGTGGATTTCCGCCGCCGAAGGAGTCGGCACCGGCCGCACTTTGGGGAGAGCGCCTCCCCCGATGCATGGATTTGGCGACCGCGCGCCACATCCAGGGATCGCTAATCCATGCTTGCGCGTCCCCGACTGCTACTCTGCGGAGGAATATTCCCAAATAGTCTGAAAATAGGGGACGATAATTCAGTCTATCGTTGACCATCTGGGAGTATTTTTGATAATTTGCCACTCTCTTTTTTTTTCTCGTGGCTCGAGGTGGGCTGGGCCTGTGGGCCTCCAGGGGCCTCGAGCCCGGAGAGCACGGCCTTCCACCTCCCTCCGTCGGGAGGAGGCTGAGCTTCAGTCGGGCCGGTCCCTCTACGGTTGTGGAGGACGATCACTGGAAAGGAAGCATGTTGCCAGATAGTTTCCAGATGTCTTAAACATGATTCAAACATGTTGTAAACATGGTTAGAACTTGTTTCCTGCATTTCATACACATTGACAATTCAATGATAGGACTGTTAGGGTGTCCTGAGTCGTGGCGTCCACAACTCTACGGGGGAATATTCCAAAATAGTCAGAAAATAGTCTGGGACGATGTTTTTGGCTATTGTTGACCATTTGGGAGCATTTTTGTTTGAGTATTTTCAGTTTTCGCCCACAATCCACGACATGCCTGACCTAAGGCTCAGTCCGTTCCAGAGCGCTCCAGGGCGCTCTCGGAGCGTTCTGGAACGGCCTCGGAGCGTTTCGGAGTGCTCCTGTCAGGCCGCGGCGCCCGAGGCAGCCTCCAGAGCCGCCGGACTTCGGAGCCGCTCGGTCCATTTCTGTAACTACGGAGCCCTGGACAGCACCAGCCATGTGGAGCCAATCTCGAATCGGAAAATAGAAACAAGCAGTTCTCGAGATTGGGAGCAGATCAGACACATTATGGATTTGGAACACGTAGAGCACATAGACAACATATAACAGCAGTCGATATACACGCACCTGTCTTCATTGGAAGTATTTACTAGTTTGTTGTGTTGTGTCTATGTTGGAGAAGTTGTGATTCAAAGCGCGGGATTGCTATCCCAAGGGGGATAATCCTTTCGGCGTGAAGCAACCATAATCATCGCAGGCGAATCGCGGGCAATTCGCTGCGATGCTGCATTGATGTGCGTAGTCGTTGTGTGTTTGTCGTGAGCGACTTTGCGAGTGCGGAGCACGTCCCGTCATTGTTCGTCTTGTTTTGCTTCCACCTTTTCCCAATCATCATTGCTCCTTTCCCTTTTCCACGGGGTGCCTGATATTCAGGAGCGATCTGGGCCTGGGGGGCGCGGCCTTGTTTTTGTTTGATGGTTGCTTCGCGGCGCCTGGAGATTTTGCGGGCGCGGTTCGGATGTGGCTTTGGATGTCTGTCGGGCCTAGTAAGCCGCGCGCTCTCGTGGAATTGAGCGGCGAACGACTGGACGGGGATCAAAGCAGATATGTTCTTCAGAAGTGGGAACTCAACACCACCAACAACAACAAGCCCAATCATTTCAAAAGACTGTTCCCTGTTCGCTCCTATCCGCTTGCGTGCCATTCAACACGTGTATCCCAAACCTTCCGTACCCGCCCTCGTCGTCTGCGATGGTACCCCCATGGGGGTATATCTTCCTTACCTGCCACGCGCATTGAGCACAGCCCCCTAAAACAGAGAAAGCAAGGACGGATGGAAGGGGGAAACAAAAGGATGGAGCACGACAACAATTTGCTGACAGGGGGCTGGGAACAGAAAACACCTGGCAGAACCAGACGGGGAGATCGGGCGGGCAGTCCTCAGCGGGCGGGCTGGGAAGGCGGGCCCAGGCGGCCAGGTCGCGCAGGCGGGTTGCTGAAGCCTGCATGGGCAGCGAAGAAGTCTCGAGCGATAGCGCGATGCCCATGTGTATCGTGAGAAAGACCCAAGCGAGAGCGTGATTCCTGAGTGTCGAGAGCGCGGCGTGCGAATACATTGTGAGGAAGGCCCACGCGAGAGCGCGGTTCCTGCATACATTGTGAGGGAGTCCCGCGCCAGAGCGCGATCTTGGAATAAGTTGTGGGAAGTACAAGGCGGGAGCTGTTGTTGTTGTTGTTGTTGTTGTTGTTGTTGTTGTTGTTGTCTTTGTTGTTGTTGTTGTTGTTGTTGCTGTTGTTGTTGTTGTTGCTGCTGTTGTTGTTGTTGTTGGTGCAGCGGGGGTCAACTTTTGATCAAGGATGCCTCCCCTGATAGAAAACAAGGTGCGAGCCCCGAGGGCGGCACTTCAATTGAAAATCGCACTGGGCACCGGTGGGGGGACCCACAACGATTATTCTTCCAGAGTGAGAGTGCAACAACAACGACAGCGACAGCAGCAGCAACAGCAGCAGCAACAACACTAACAACAACACCAATTGCGCAACAACAAGCCGCACCGCGGGACCCCACTGCAGCCACGCACCCAGGAGCAGTGACTTACCGTTTGGCCCCCTTCACTCTTACACAGATCTATGCATGTATGTATGTATGTATGTATGTATGTATGTACGTACGTACGTACGTACGTATGTATGTATGTATGTATGTATGTATGTATACACTTTGGAGTAGGATATGGGAGGGCCCGGAACTGGTACCACGGGTTTGCATGGGGTTTCGGGGGGGGGCTTGAGGGCTCCAAGAAGGCTCCTAGAGGCCCCCAAGAGGCTCCCAAAGCGGCCCAGGTTGTTTGGAAGGTGGCTGAAGAGCGCACTGAGATGGCCTCTGGATGGGCCACGAGCGCTCGAACACAGCCCAAGACTGTTCATAGACGGCCACGAAGACAAAGGCACTCAAGACGGTCCAAAAGGCCGCAGAGAAGTCAAAACGGTCCAAGAGGCCGCCGAGAAGGCCCCCCAAGGGCAAACAACAAGCATTCCCTATGAACAAAAAATCTATGATTGGGATACCCGCTTTTTCAATCCTAACAGCGGCCACGTCGGCACCAAAGACTTCCTACATCGGCCTCCGACGGCCCAAGAGGCCCCCAAAAGGCCCCAAGACGGCCTGAAGAGAGCTTCCGTAGCCATTTTGGCTCAAGGACACCAGACAGCCTCTCGCCGCCCACGCCACCCCCTCGGTCGCGAGCCGTGGTCATGTCGGGAGCTGCGGTCGAAGTTGTCCCGCCCAGCGATGGCGTTGTCAAGCTGAATTATCAGGACATCAAGCGCTATTACAGCCCCGACAACTACGGGCCAAGGGGTCTTCCCGATGACGGTGTTCGCGGCCGCCTGATCGATGGCAAAGCCATATCTGCGGAGGTGCGTGCCATCATCAAAGCGAAGCTCGAGGAGAGGCGCGCCAGCCAGGGTGGCGGCGGGCGGGCGCCCGGGCTGGTGGTGGTGCTCGTGGGCGCCGATGCGGCCAGCAAAGTGTACATCAAGCAGAAGCAGAAGGCTTGCCAGGAGGTGGGCATCAAGAGCACCCTGCTGGAGCTGCCCGAGGAGACCTCGCCCTCGGAGCTGCTGGCGACGATCCGGGGCCTGAATGAGGACGAGGCCTGCGACGGCATCCTGGTGCAGCTGCCGCTGCCCACGGCGCAGCTGCAGGAAGAGCAGTCGGCCATACTCGAGACGATCCGAGCGGACAAGGACGTGGACGGTTTCCACCCGTTCAACCTCGGCCGCCTTGTCACACGCGAGCCCAAGCTGCGGCCGTGCACGCCCTTCGGCGTGATGCACCTGCTGTGGAGCACGGGCGTGAACCCGTACGGTCTGCGCTGCGTCGTCGTAGGCGCGAGCAACCATGTGGGGCGCCCCATGATGCTCGAGCTCCTGCTGAACGGCGCCTCGGTGCAGATTGTGCACAGGTTCACGCAGAATCTCGAAGAGGTGGTTCGGGACGCCGAGTGCCTCATAGTCGCCTGCGGCAAGCCTGGGCTGGTGAAGGGCGAGTGGATACGGCCGGGCGCCATCGTCATCGACGTGGGCATCAACAGACTGGAGAGCGGCAAGCTCGTGGGCGACGTGGACTTCGAGTCTGCGAAGCAGCGTGCGGGCTGGATCACCCCGGTGCCCGGCGGCGTCGGGCCGATGACGGTGGCGATGCTGCTGCGCAACACGGTCACGGCTTACGATGCCCACATGAATCGGTGCGTCCCGGGCGGCGCGTGAGGCTGCGGGCCCGCGGTCCTGCGTTCTGTGGTTTTGGTTGTGTGAGTGTGTGTGTGTTGTTGCTCGCATGCCCGCGGCAACCGCCTTTTTCGGGTGTCTGGGGCACTCAGGTGCTCCAGCATTCTCGCATGTTTCAACTCTTGAGGCACGTCCAGGGAGCGCATGGCCACAAGTAGACGACCATGTCGCCTCGAAGGTCTGCCTGTGTCGCCTTCTTGTTAGCCTCTCGCCCAGCTTTTCGCCGCGCCCCCACCCATCGCCGGTTCCGCCGCTGCTTCTTGCTGGAGGACGTCCAGAGCACAGGCCGTGCCTCTAGGACGGTGCACGCCAGTGGAGCCCAGCGCCGCCGCGTCGCCGAAAAAAAAGACTGCCTGAAGAGAGCTTCAAGCAGCACAAGAGAGCTCCACGACGGCCCAAGAGTCCCCAAGGGGGCCCGAGAGGGCCACCAGAGGATCCCCACATGGTCGGAGAGGGCCCCACGAGGGCCGCAAGACGGGCTCAGCTCCCCATGACGGGCCAAGAGGGACCCAGGACGGCCGAAATGGTCCCCCTGACGGGCCTAAAAAGGCCCTGAAGGACTCCGAGGGAAGGCCTGGAGAGGTCCCAGAGACTCCCACAATGCTTCCAAAAGGCTCCCAGGAGGCTTCCCAGTAGGCCCTCATGAGCGCATGGGAGGTCTCGCGCCTACGTCCTGTAAGACCCATTTCAGGGATCCCCGAGGCTCCACAAAAGCATGCTGCTGGGCGCCAGGAAGAATAACCAGAGCACCCCGACTTCACGGTCGAGGTCAGAGGTGTACCGCCGTGGGCGGGAGGGCGGCCTACGCACGTTGGCTTTCGGACTGCCGATGGAACCCCCACTGGGACACGATCCGCGTGAGAAAGTCAGTCGCCTTGGGGGGACGCGACGTTGCGCGAATTCCCCTACAGAGGGACAGAGGGGCACGTGCACCTGCCCAGAGGTTTCCCCAGAGACGCGCACAGGCATTCACGAAGTCTCACGCCAACAACCCAGGCTCGGTGGCAGGATGTGCAGAAGGCCACCAGGAGGGGCACACGTGGACGAGGGGCACGAATGCCCTTACTCTTTGTGTATTCCGTATTCCTGCTGTTCGTCTTCAAGGATTCCACTTTTCTTTCTGCTCCTGCCCCTCCTTCCCGTTCTGCCCTCGTTTTTGCCGCCATCATGCTCCTGGACTCTTCTCCCCTTCTCAACCTCCAAACCGCCCCCCTCGTCCTCTTCGTCGTCCTGGAATCCCCCGTGCTCAGGGAAGTTCTCTTCACTACGTGCTTCCGCAACGCATTCGGACGAAAGCCGTATCCGCAACCGTCGACCAGCCCACGGCATCTCATTGCGAGTTGGGATTCCGGAGAACGTGAGCGCGCGCGAAGCGCCGCGATGGTTCTAGTGTATAGATATATGTGTCCGCACCAATGTTCATAGTTGAATGACTATACATATATAGAGATTGGCATGTGGGGGCACAGACGTCTCCATTGATGTATCACAGTCATCTCTTTAGATGTCTACGCACGCTGCCAGCATCGGCGGCATATCATTATTGTTCGCCTGTTCGTTGTTGTTGGGTGGCTCTTACTCCCATCGGATGCCGCTCGTAATGGGGCAGGAGGACGAGGAAGTTTCGAGGAGGATCGAAACGGAGGAGGAGCAGGAAAAACGGCCGAGCAGAACTTCGAGGAGGAGCAGGGAATATAACGGTGGGGACTGATCAAAGGTGCGGGGAAAGAGGAGGAGGATGAGGAAGAGGAGGAGGAGGAGGAGGAGGAGGAGGAGGAAGAGAGGTCCAGTGTACAACCACCGCTCATGAACGATGTTGCTATCAACTCTCTCACCAAGCTACCTCTCGATAGGACCCTACGCGGATTCAGTTCCACTGAGGGAAGTGCCTTGTTGGACGACACCAGTTTGAAAATCATGAACCGTGCCAAAGCGCCACTCCTGGGATTTCAACGCCATGAATCAACCTCAATCCTGCGTCTTGACGATCCTGAATCGTGCGAGAACATCGTTCCTAGGACCTCAGCACCGCGGATCAACGTACCTGTTGCGCCCAGACAGTCCAACATCGTTCCAAAATGCCATTTCTGGGACGGTAGCCATCAGAATCGTTGGAACGTCTGCAAGATATTAGACGAATGCGGCCAGCGTTCAGGCGAGAGCCACATGTTTGAAAAGGTACCGCCCTCTATCCGCGAAGCTCGTTTAAGTTGTTGAAACGAATGTGCGCGGCCCTTGAGCCAGAGCCACATATTGGAAAGGAGGCCCCTCTGTCCGTGGCGCTCTTGCACTTGTTGTAAAACGAATGTGCGCGGGGCTGCGGCGAACACCACATTGTGAGGTTTCCTCCGAAGTTTTCGGACGAATGTGCGCGGCGCTGGGGCGAGCCTCATTTTGAAAGCGACCCGCCTTGCATCCGGAAAAGTGTCTGCAGGTTTCAAGCTTGAGGATCAGGAACGGTGAGGAAGGCTCAGGCGAAACGCCCGGCCCATCCTTTCCGACCGGCCTCGGGGGGCCACGGCCGGGAGTTACATTCATAAGGAAACGAGGAAACGGAGCTGAGGGGGAGGCAGCGGCGAAGAGAGGACACTGCCAAGCAGGCGTACTACCTGGGGAGGCGGAGGACGACGCCGTCGACGAGAGGAGGGGGGCGAGGAGGCCCTCGCCGGGGCAGGCTCCTCGGTGCAGCTCGGCGGCCGCCACGGGGCCGCCCAGCTGGCCGGGCCCGTGGCCGCAGGCCGCGCGCGTGCGGGCTGCCCCCCGCCGCTGCCGCAGCGCTGCCGCCCGCCGCCGTGGCCGCCGCCGCCGCCGCCGCCCGCCCGCTGCCGCTGCTCTGCCGCGGCCGGGCGCCGCGGCCCGCCGCCGCGGCTGGCGTGGGCGGCCGCGGCCGCCGTGGCCCGCCGTGGCCCGCGGCGGCCGCCGCGCCCGGCCCTGGCGTGCTGCAGCGGCCGGCGCGGGCTTAGCGGGCCCTGGAAACGACAGGGTCGTTTTCTTACCGGTTCCGTTTTGCCGTTGTTTTGCCGCTTCCGACACCGTTTTTTTCCGGTTCTTTCGCCGTTTTTGTTACCGGTTCCGGCTCCGGGTCCAATCCTGGAGCCGTTTTTTTGCCGTTTCCGGTCGCCGTTTTTTTTCGCTGTTTCCATTTTCGAGGGACATTTTTTGGAAAGGTGAAAAAACGGCCCTGCTGTTTCCGGGGCCCACAAAGGGCGCGGGCCCCTGAAGGCGGTTGCTTCTCACAAGGCGCGGGCCTGATCTGAAGATGTGAGGCCGGTGCTTCCTAAGAATCGGCTAGACGTGAGAGTGACCTTTCGCCGGAGTGACCTCTGGTGCGGGCACAGATGGGCCCTCAGATGGCTGAAAACGAAGCGGTAGCAGCGGCTTGCGCGCCCAGGTTTGGTCTCCCCGCGGCCTCCAAAAAGCCGCGCACCAAAGGTCTGTCTTACCCAGGGGTCACTCTTGCGTGTAGCCGGAAGATGCAGCCTCCTTGCAAGAAGCCTTCCCACCCCCCCTGCCCCTTTGTGCGCGACGTCAGAATCAGATCCCCGAGTGATCAGGACAGGGGCTTCAGTGGCAAATCATGGGAGCCTTGCGTACCTCGTTATTCTGTCTTGAGGGTGCGGTAGCGTCGACTAGTGCCTGGTAGTCAATGAGATAGCGCCGATGTAGCGTCGACTTGCGAGCTTCGTCAACATAGCGCCGATAAGCGAGAGCCAATAAGATCGTGCTGGAGGCTTTGTGAGTTGGCTCAGAGGAGTGGGGGGTCAGAGGTGGCTCTTGATCCGGGCACTCCTGTTCTCGGGCCGGACTTGCTCCCGATTGCACGCGACGCGAATTGTCTTGGATCACATTCTGCCCCGTGTCGGGCGAAGAGAATTATGCACATGCACCGATCCTGGCAAGGCCCATCCTTGACCCAGGATCGGTGCATATGCTGTCCTGGCCATGGTAGGAGGGCGTATGCACCGATCCTGGGCTTAGGATGGGCCTGGCCAGAATCGGTGTATGTGCACAGTTCTCTTTCCTCCACCGTGTAGATATTGTCCAGGGCTCTCCTGGATCAGGAGTTCTTCCGGATCAAGCGGTTCCAGGGTTTCCCGGATCACATGTTGGGACACCAAGAGCCGTACCAGGACCGTGTCTGTCCCGGCTCATCCAGGTGCCCCACCACAGGCCCAGGAGTCGCCGAGCGCGTTCCACTACTCGCAAAAGTGTCTACTCGCAGACGTGCGACAGAAAAACACATGCCCTTCTCTATGTAAGATGTCGTAAGTCCCCCGCGGCGAATCCAGGCAATTCACGAGTAGTGGAACGCGCCTTGCCAAGGAGGGCATCCACGAGACGCCGACGGGGCGCCCAAGCCCGAGGCGGTGATCCATCTACCATCGATCACCACCTGTTGCGATAGGTCTCCAGGGATCTTGGCCAACGGTGGCCGGCGCCTCTGGGGCCAGGACGTGCCCATATCACGTCAGGGTCCCAGGCGATGGATGTGTATATGTATGTATGTATGTATGTATGTATGTATGTATGTATGTATGTATGTATGTATACATACATATATATATATGTGTGTCTGTCTGTTTGTATGTAAGTATGTAAGTATGTAAGTATGTTTGTATGCATGTATGCATACATGTATGTATGTATGTATGTTTGTATATATGTATGTATGTATGTATGTATGTATGTATGTATGTATGTATGTATGTATGTATGTATATATGTATGTGTGTATGCATGCATGCATGTATGTATGTATGCGTGTACGTGTATATATATATATACGTGTGTGTACGTATGTATGTATATATGTATATATTCATACATGTATGCATGTTTGTACGTATATCTGTATGTACATGTATATGTATATGTGTATGTGTATGTATATGTAGAGGTATATGTAAATATATATGTATATGTATATGTATATGTATATGTATATGTGTTTGTGTATGTGTATGTGTATGTGTATGTGTATGTGTATGTGTATGTGTATGTGTATGTGTATGTGTATGTGTATGTGTATGTATGCATGTATGTATGTATGTATGTATGTATGTATGTATGTATGTATGTATGCGTGTATGTATGTAGGTATGTATGTATCTACATGTGTATATATATATATACAAATGAAAGAGCGTGTTCTACCGCTACTGGCGGAAAACCGGGGGGCTGGTCACTGGGGGTTCCCAGCCCGTCCCCCCCCCTCGAAAACCGAGGGGGGGGGGGTACTACCGGTTCAAACCCTTCCCCCCCCATCATGATCATGAAAAGGGGGGGGTCACTATTGGTTCGATCCCACCCCCCTCGCCGCCGGCAAACGATTCCCGCTCCTCGGGCCAGTTGGACACTGGTGGGGATACTGGGACAGTGGTGGGAACGGTGGTGGTGGGAACAGTGATGCGGGGACAGTGGGACAGTGGTGCGGACAGTGGTGGGGGCGGTGG